ATCTCATGGGCTGAGGGGAGGGAGTCAAAGGGGAATTCAGCCCCTAATTTCTTTTCCAAAAAATTTTGTGTATTGTTGTAATTAAAATTAATTTAAAATAGCACCAGCTAGGTATATGCTGCTTTTTGTTTTTTTTTTTTTTCTTTTTTTGAGATAGAGTCTCACTTTGTCGCCCAGGCTGGAGTGAAATGGCACGATCTCGGCTCACTGCAAGCTCCGCGTCCCGGGTTCAAGCCATTCTCCTGCCTCAGCCTCTGGAGTAGGTGGGACTACAGGCGTGTGCCACCATGCCCAGCTAATTTTTGTATTTTTAGTAGAGATTGGGTTTCACCATGTTGGCCAGGATGGTCTCAATCTCCTGACCTCATGATCTGCCCACCTCAGCCTCCCAAAGTGCTGGGATTACAGATGTGAGCCACCGCACCCAGCTAGATAATATTCTTGACTTTAAAAGTTTAATCTAGGGGGCAATGGAAAAATAAATAAATAAAAAGTTTAATCTAGTTCAGATGTGGTGGGCCACCCCTGTAGTCCTGGCACTTTTGGGAGGCCGAGGCCAGAGAGTCACTTGAGGTCAGGAGTTCAAGACCAACCTGGGCAACATAATAAGACCCTGTCTCTACAAAATACAAAACAAAACAAAACAAAAAAAAACTTTGCCAGGCATGGGCCTGTAATCCCAGTTAGTTGAGAGGCTGAGGCAGGAGGATCACTTGAGCCCAGTAATTCAAGACTACAATGACCTATGATTGTGCCACTGCACTCCAGCCTGGGTGACAGGCCATGTTAGGCAACAGGGTTGTGCCATGTTGTGGAGGCTGGTCTCAAATTCCTGGCCTTAAGTGATCCTCCACTCGGGCCTCCAAATAACTTTTTTTTTTTTTTTTTTTGAGACGGAGTCTGGCTCTGTCGTCCAGGCTGGCAGTGGCAGTGGCCTGATCTCAAGCTCACGGCAGCTCCGCCTCCCGGCGGTTTACGCCATTCTCCTGCCTCAGCCTCCCGAGTAGCTGGGACTTACAGCGCCGCACCATCGCCCGGCTAGTTTTTGTATTTTTTAGTAGCAGACGGGGTTTCACCGTGTTAGCCAGGATGGTCCCGATCTCCTGACCTTCGTGATTCGGCCCGTCTCGGCCTCCCAAGTGCTGGGATTACAGGCTTGAGCCACGGAGCCGCGCCCGGCGCAACCTTTTTTTTTTTTTGAGACGGAGTCTCGCCTCGCTGCCTCGCGGCCCAGTGCTGGGTGGCATGTGGCCGGTTCGCAGCAGCTTCACGTACAAGCTCGGCCTCCCCGGGGTTTACGGCCATTCTCCCCCCGCCTCAGCTCCGAGTAGCTGGGACTACAGGCCGCCCACACACTCACCCGGCTAGTTTTTTGTATGTTTTTTAGTAGAGATGGGGTTTCACCGTGTTAGCAGCGATGGTCTCGATCTCCTGAACTGTTGTATCTGCCCGTTCGGCCCCTCCAAAGTGCTGGGATTACAGACTTGAGCCACTGCGCCGCCCGCCGCCAAATACACATTTTTGACGACACACTGTACCACAAAGTAGGTGACTTAAACAAATACACTATGTGGCCAAATTTTTTAATTTTTTGTAGAGGACAGGATTCTCGTATATTCGCCTAGCCTGGTCTGTGAACTCTTGGGCTCCAGAGCAATCCTCTCCAGCCTCAGCCTACTCAAAGTGTTGGGATTAACAGGTGTGAGTGATTGCACCAGGCCTGGCTCCTTTTTTTTTTTTTTTTTAGGGAGCTTCGCTCTGTCGCCCAGGCTAGCGTGCAGTGGGCCGGATCTCAGGCTCACTGCAAGCTCGCATCCCAGGTTTTACGGCCATTCTCACTGGCTCAAGCCTCCGAGTAGCTGGGGGAGCTACAGGCGCCCCACCGATCGCCCGCTAGTTTTTTTTTGTATTTTTTATTAGAGAGCGGGTTTCACGTGTTAGCCAGGATGGTCTTGATTCCTGACCTCGTGAATCTGCCCGTCTTTGGCCTCCAAAGTGCTGGGATTACCAGGCTTGAGTCACCGCGCCCGGCGGCCTTGGCTTCTTATTCTCGACATAAAATTGGCTGAAATATTTAGATGGAAGTTCAAGATGTCTGCAACTTTACTTTTCCAATGTTTTAATACAAATATATGCTACCACAGATAGAAAAGTAGTCAGCAGCAAAATGTTTATTGGTGGATCTACGGGAAGGAGTATATGGAGTTTCTTTTTTTTTTAAAGATGGAGTCTCACTCTGGGTTGCCCAGGCTGGAGTACAGTAGTGAGATCTCAGCCTCACTTGCAAACTACTGCCTTCCCAGCGTCAAGTGGATTCCCCGCTTCAGCCTCCCAAGTAGCTGGGACTACAGGCACCCACCACCACGCCTAGCTAATTTTTTTTTTTTTTTTTTTTGTATTTTAGTTAGGAGACAGGGTTTCACCATGTTGGCCAGGTAGTTTTGAACTCCTGACCTCAGGTGATCCACCCATCTCGGCCTCCCAAAGTGCTAGGATTATAGACGTGAGCCACCACGCCCAGACTTTTTTTATTTTTTGAGACGGAGTATCACTCTGTCACCCAGGCTGGAGTGCAGTGGCACGATCTCAGCTCACTGCAAGCTCCACCTCTCTGGTTCAAGAAATTATCCTGCCTCAGCTTCCTGAGTAGCTGGGATTACAGGTGCGCACCACCATGCTCAGCTAATTTTTGTATTTTTAGCAAAGACGAGGTTTCACAATGTTGGCCAGGCCAATGTTGAACTCCCAACCTCAGGTGATCTGCCTGCCTCAGCCTCCCAAAGTGCTGGGATTACAGGCGTGAGCCACAGTGCTTGGCCAGAGTTCGTATTCTTTCCATCTTGCTGCAGGTTTGAAATTTGTTAACATAAAATATTGGGAGAAAATTAATTTTTTAGAAGTGTGAAAATTTGTAAATCTGAAAGTCTTTTGGCTGAATTATTGCTGGGCGCTGGGAAGCAGCCATTTCTCCAGTTTAGTGAGGGACGGCTCCAGGTCTCAGCTTGCCATAGGCCTGAGTATCTCTGCACAGGACTCTCTCTTTGAGTCTCTGCACCTCAGTAGGCCGAAGAAATATTTCCTGAGTGGGCCGAAGGCATTTTCCAGCACGATCTCACCAGTCTCACCAGAACCTCCCATGAGATCGTTTTTTTTTTCTTTTTTTTTTTTTTTTTGCAGGGTCTTTCTCTGTTGCCCAGGCTGGAGTGCAGTGGTGCAAACGTAGCTCACTGCAGCTTCTAACTCCTGGCCTCAAGAGATCTTCCCACCTCAGCCTCCCAAAGTGCTAAGATTATAGGTGTGAGCCACCTCACCCAGCCTGTGATAAGTTTTATTTTATTTTATTTTGAGACAGGGTCTTGCTCTGTCACCCAGGCCGGAGTGCAGTCGCGTGCTCTCAGCTCACCGCAACCTCTGCCTCCTGGGTTTAAGCCATTCTCCTGCCTCAGCCTCCTGAGTAGCTGGAATTACAGGCGCATGCCACCACACCCGGCTAATTTTTGTATTTTTAGTAGAGACAGGGTTTCACCACGTTGGTCAGGCTAGTCTTGAACTCATCCGCCCACCTCGGCCTCCCAAAGTGCTGGGACTACAGGTGTGAGCCACCGTGCCGGCGCTGGGATAAGTTTCATGATTCCCATTTACAGATGTGGAAACTGAGGCCAGGTAACTTGCCTGTGGCTGCATAACTAGACCAGAATCCAGGCTGCCTGATTCTCATGCCTGGGCCCCTAACCAGGCCCTAAAATTCCAGACACCCTCCAATCCCCATTCCCAACCACTTAGTGGCCCCCAGTCTCTTTTCAGTACTTTCCCCTAGCTTTAGGGCCTGCCATACGCCTCAGAGCATAGCCATCAGCTGCCCCAGGCCTGCCCTGACTCTAGGGCACACTCCTTCCCCTCCTTCCCCATTCAGCCCAGCCTTGAGGCCTGGGTCCTGCTAAGTGTTGGACCCCCCAGCTAAGAATAAGTGAAACCCCTCTCAGACCTTCCCCTGCTCCCTTTTCATCAGCCTCACCTGGGTGGGCAGCAGGGCACTGGATACCCATGGTGTGCCCTTCGGATCCACTTCCCTCTTCTCCACCCTGCTCTGTGCCAAGACTGGCCACTACAACCTACAGTTACTGAGTTCTCTTTTTTTTTGAGATGGCGTTTCACTCTTGTTGCCCAGGCTGGAGTGCAATGGCGCGATCTTGGCTCACTGCAACCTCCGCCTCCCAGGTTCAAGTGATTCTCCTGCCTCAGCCTTCCAAGTAGCTGGGATTACAGGTGCCCGCCATGATGCCCGGCTAATTTTTGTATTTTTAGTAGAGATGGGGTTTCACCATGTTGGCCAGGCTAGTCTCAGACTCCAGACCTCAGGTGATCCGCCTGCCTCGGCCTCCCAAAGTGCTGAGATTACAGGCGTGAGCCACCAAGCCAGGATTTTTTTTTTTTTTTCTTTTTTTGAGACTGGGTCTTGCTCTGTTGCTCAGGGTGGAATGTGATGGCACAGTCCACACACTTTGGCCTCCCAAAGTGCTGGGATTATAGGCTTGAGCCATCGCGCCCAGCCAGTTCACTAAATTCTTGGGGTCTCTGGCTGCTGGTTGAATTTGGACAAAGGGAGGCAGGAGAAGGGAGGGAGTGAGGTGGAGGAATTTATTTCCTAGGCTGCCTTTCAGCTCAGCCATGGTCAAGTTCTACCAAAAGCCAGAGCTCCTGTCGAGTAGCGCCACTGCCTCTTCCTGCCTGGGTGGTCTGGGGTTCCTAACAGCTCCTCTCTGCTGTCCAGGTCCTGGGGCACTGCCATTCATTGGTGTGTTCCCTTAGCACTGTGCACGCTTCTGTAAACTGTCCCTTCATTAGTAAAGTCGCTTCATCTACCCCATTTGAATGTCACCTGATTTGTGAAAATGCAGGGAAGACAATCTGGTCTGTAACTGTCTGTGACGCCTTCACTGTTCCCTCCATTCCTAATCCCCCACCTTCTGAACCCCAAGATGACAGATCCAGGCAAGGAGGCCAGCAGCTTACAAAGCTATCTTTATTGGTTTCTTGCTGCCTCACAGAGCATCAGGGTCTGTCCCTCCTGGGAATGTGGCATTTGAGGAGATAAATACTTATTTTGCCCCCCACACTTCAGTCGGGGGAGGTTTAATAAAAATAGTAATATAATAACAATATAATGACTGTGATCAATAGTAAAATGCCCCCTAGGTTCCCCTAATACACAACTGGTTGAAGCTTCGAGAAAAAGGGCCCTCATTTCTGGGAAGGGCCAGAGTGTGCCGGGAGACCCTCCAGTGGCCCCCACTGGGTGCCCATCTCCCACCAAAAAGCCCTTATAAATACCCTCCCCATCCCATCCCTGTCCAGGATTCTCTTCCCCGATGGGAGGATTGGCTGACAGCGTCAGCCCCGCCCACCGCACCCCTCCCCAGAGAAAGGACTCTTTGTTCTCCAGACTCCCTCTCTCTTCCACCTCTCTTTTTGTCTTCCTCCTCTTCATCGCTTCTCCTCCGTCCCTCTCCCCTCTTCCTCTACACGGCTTCTACCTCCTTCCAATTCCTATCACCTCCTCCTCCACTTCCTTCCTCCTATCCTGTCTCTCACCTCCTTTGCCTACATCCTTTCTCTTCTTCTCTATCTTCCCTTCCTCTGGATCACAGTCTGTTTTTCTCACCCAGATGCTGAGCAGAGACCGGGACATGCCCCATCTTGGCCTCAGCTGGGAGTCAGATAGTCCACAGATAAGACCCCCAACCTGTTCCCAGAGACCCAGTCCCTCTCCATCCCTCATCCCAACTCTTACAAGCCTCTGGGGGCTTGGCACTGGACACAAGAGCTTTGGCACAATCACCCCTGGACACCAGGACAAAAGGATCCATTCTATTCCCAATGGCTTAGAAAGGCTGGGGCTAGGAACAGAGAGGTAAGGCAGGGAATCAGGACTGGGAGTCAGGACCCCCAAGTCCTGGGAAACCAGGCAAGCCTTCCAGTCATTGCCCAGCCCAGGCCCTCCCTGAGTCCGAATTTCCATGTCCCGGACCAGCCGGAGTATGGCATTCCTCAAGTTCTTCGCTCCCTCATGTCTTTCTGCCCTGGGATTGGGGTGGGCCCTAACAGAGGGCATCAAGGAGAGCTCTCCAATTCAGGGGATAGGGGGAGGCTTCGGGGCCGTTCTGAGACCTGCAGGAGAAAGAAAAGGAAGTCGGGGGGTAGGCTCAGGGAGGACTCTTTCCTCACAGGGCCAGTGGCTCCTGGAGGCCCCCTTAGTATCATCACCCACTGTATCAGGGCCCCTGGAGGAAACCAGATGTGAGGTGGGGAGTAGAGGTGGTAAAAAGGTCACTGGAAGAACCTGGAGAACTCCTGCTTAACCTTGAATGGATTCAAAGTCCTTTTTTTTTTCTTTTTTCTGAGACAGAGTTGTGCTCTGTCGCCTAGGCTGGAGTGCAGTAGTGGCATGATCTTGGCTCACTGCAACCTCTCCCTCCCAGGTTCAAGTGATTCTCCTGCCTCTGCCTCCCAAGTAGCTGGGATGACAGGCATGCATCACCATGCCTGGCTAATTTTTCTTTTGTTTGTTTTTTGTTTGAGACGGAGTCTCGCTCTGTCACCCAGGCTGGAGTGCAGTGGCATGATCTCGGCTCACTGCAACCTCCGCCTCCCAGGTTCAAGCAATTCTCCTGCCTCGGCCCCCCAAGTAGCTGGGATTACAGGCATGCGCCACCAGGCCCAGCTAATTTCTGTATTTTTAGTAGAGACACGGTTTCACCACGTTGGCCATGCTGGTCTCGAACTCTTGACCTCAAGTGATCCGCCCGCCTTGGCCTCCCAAAGTGTTGCAATTACAGGGGTGAGCCACCGTGCCCAGTGAATGTTCATTCACTCCATTTTTCCTTTAGTCGATACACATGCTTCACTCTGGGCAGAAGAATGAAGCCTGACCCCCACCACCAAGGAGCCCACAGTCAAGGGAGGAGAACAGGCACCAGAAGAAACCCATGGCACAGCAGGAGCTGCAAGGATGGTGTGGAGGGAGCGGGGTGGCAAAGGTGGCACCAGCCCCAGGGAGGCAATGACTACCTGACCAAGCAGCTAGGAAGGCTCCTTTGAAGATGGTACTGGTGGGTCACCTGGAGGGCAGTCTGGTGTTGGTGAAGGTGAAGATAGGGACAAGGCATTCAAAACAGAGGGACTGAACGGGGCGAGAGCCTGCAGGCATGGAAAGCAGCATCGGTGAAGCCCCAGGCGGCGCGCGAGCGGCTGGTGCTCGAAACCAGGAGTCGGGTGCATGTGTGTGCTGGGAGACAGTGGGCGTGGCAAATGCTGCTCCACGTTGCGCTGGAAATGTGTGGGCCTGCAGGGGAACGGGAAACCCTCCCCAAGCTTTCTCTTTAGGTTTACCCCTGTCCTCATTCAGAATCGGATTGCTCCCCTCCTCTGATCCCCGGA